GATCATGAGATGCTCAAATTTGAGATCCTCAGGACAGTGAGAAGAGCGTGCAGCAAGCTCACTGCCCTCAAAAGAGCAGACTTTGGCCTCTTCAGGAACCTGCTTAGGAAGGCTCCAAGGGATACAGACCTAGAGGGCAGAGGGGCCCAAGACTGTTGGTCGGTATTCAAGGATCACCTGCTACAAGCTCAGGAGTGTTGCATCCCAACTAGAAGGATGTGCAGCAGGAGGACCAGGAGACCTCCTTGGATGGATAAGGAGCTCCTGAGGAAAATTCAAATGACAAAAGAGGCTTATAAAAGGTGGAAGCAAGGACAGGTGGCCTGGGAAGAGTACAGGGATGTTGTCTGGGAAGCTAGGGACCAGGTTAGGAAAGCTAAGGCTCAGTTAGAATTAAACTTGGCTAGGGATGGAGGAGCTGGTGAATGAAGCTGCTAAGTCACTGGCCATCATATTTGAAAAATCATGGCAGTCAGGTGACGTTCCCAATGACTGGAAAAAGGGAAATATAACCCCGTTTTTCAAGAAGGGGAAAATGGATGACCCAGCGAATTACAGACCAGTCAGTCTCACCTCTGTGCCTGGCAAAATCTTGGAGCAGATTCTCCTGGAAGGCATGCTAAGGCACATGAAAAACAACAAGGTGCTTGGTGACAGCCAGCATGGCTTCACTAAGGGGAAATCCTGCCTGACCAATTTGGTGGCCTTCTATGATGGGGCTACAGAACTGATGGACAGGGGTAGAGCAGTTCATGTCATCTACCTGGACTTGTGTAAAGCCTTCGACACAGTCCCACACAACATCCTTGTCTCTAAACTGGAGAGACATCAATTTGATGGATGGACCACTCGGTGGATAAAGAACTGGCTGGATGGCTGCACACAAAGAGTTGTGGTCAATGGCTCAATGTCTGGCTGGAGACCAGTAACGAGTGGTGTCCCTCAGGGATTGGTGTTGGGACCGGTCTTCTTTAACATCTTCATCGCTGACATGGACAGTGGGATTGAGTGCGCCTTCAGCAAGTTTGCCAATGACACCAAGCTGTGTGGTCTGGTTGATACCCTGGAGGGAAGGAATGCCATCCAGAGGGACCTCGACAAGCTTGTGAGGTGGGCTGATGTCAACCTCATGAAGTTCAACCATGCCAAGTGCAAGGTCCTACACCTGGGTTGGAGCAATCCCAGGCACAGCTACAGGTTGGGCAGAGAAGAGATTCAGAGCAGCCCTGCAGAGAAGGACTTGGGGGTGTTGGCTGATGAGAAAATGAACATGAGCCGGCTTCAGTGTGCGCTCGCAGCCCAGAAAGCCAACCGTATCCTGGGCTGCATCAAAAGGAGCGTGACCAGCAGGTCGAAGGAGGTGATCCTGCCCCTTTACTCTGCTCTCGTGAGACCTCACCTGGAGTATTGTGTGCAGTTCTGGTGTCCTCAACATAAAAAGGACATGGAACTGTTGGAACAAGTCTAGAGAAGGGCCACGAGGATGATCAGGGGACTGGAGCACCTCCTGTATGAAGACAGGCTGAGAAAGTTGGAGCTGTCCAGCCTGGAGAAGAGAAGGCTGCGTGGAGACCTCCTAGCAGCCTTCCAGTATCTGAAGGGGGCCTATAGGGATGCTGGGGAGGGACTCTTCATTAGAGACTGTAGTGAAAGGAGAAGGAATAATGTGTTAAAACTTAAACAGGGGAAGTTTAGTTTGGATATAAGGAGGAAATTCTTTCCTGTTAGAATGATGAGGCACTGGAATGGGTTGCCCAGGGAGGTTGTGAATGCTCCATCCGTGGCGGTGTTCAAGACCAGGTTGGACGAGGCCTTGGGTGATATGATGTAGCTTGAGGTGTCCCTGCCCATGGCAGGGGGGTTGGAACTAGATGATCTTAAGGTCCTTTCCAACCCTAACTATTCTATGATTCTATGATTCTAAATGTGGAATTGAGCTCTTTTCCTTCCAAAGTTAAACTATGAGTAATTATATTAATCTGACCTGTTACTGTAAGTGTAGAGACTATTTTTGTGCAAGGTTTTTTTCCCTACCCACAGGGTCTTGCTATTCTATTACCCTGAATAGTAACATTTTGATGTAGCTGCTATCTTTTCTAAATGGTCAGATGACTGAGCACAGTTAGTTAATTTTGCTTTGGTCAGTCTAAGCCTGGTAAGAAAATAGACATTAACTTACAGATTGTCTTTTTTGAGCAGCTCTAATAAACATGTGATATTACATCCCTGGTTTGGAAAGAAAGATGCTGAGTTACTTGGAACATGTCTAAATAAAGATTTGTTCATCCATTGTACTATGTGCTTATCAATCTTTCTCACTGTGACAAGTCGGAAACAGTACTGTCATAAATGGATTTTCAATCACATGGACTACTCTGAACAATGTAATTTTTCACAGTCATGCAAGTTTATAATAGAAGTCAGGCCTTCTGACTGCCAGGTAGAAAAGTCTCTAGACCACCAGAGAACGAAGAAAGATGAGCATGCAAACTGTCTCAAAAGAAGAGTTTATCTCTATAACCCTCTTTTCTATTTATATTCTTTACTTCTCTCTACCTTGCAGCAATTAGTGATATCTCACCCAGTCTGTGAAAATAAAATCAGATGTTACAGAACCTGTTGAGAATGTTATGCAATCATGTTTCAGAAATATTTAAAATTAAATGAACAAATGCTAAATAAATATATTCTATTTTGCTTTAAATTTATTTCTTAGGTTTCTTACATCAATTATTATATTCTTATTTACATTTACTTATAGCCCAATGTTGTTTATGAGAAAAGTAGAGACATTGTAGTCCTTTGCCCTGTTTATTGTGAATTCCAGAAATTTCTTTACAATACCAAGGAAATAAAATATCCACTCTACTTCTGTGTTCTGCTCAATTATACCAGCATGGCCATCTCCAATTACCATTTTGTCACTATTGCTTGTTACACAGACACTTAGGTCAGCTTCTATAAAGCTATTGCCATCTTGAAAAAGTCTGAAATATAGTAAGACAAAAATGTAACTGAGGTGTTTAGAAAGTCCACATAATATGAAGGCATCTTTTCTAAAATGGTTTTAAGTGTGGGTAAAACATCAGCACTCCTCTAGTAGAATTTAAACGTACGGAAGGCCTACGCACTGCTTATAAGTAATAAATAATAAATAATTCCATTTTATAGTAAAAAATTATTAATTTAAATGTACTCTAAAATTTTTAACAGTCTTCACTAGACATCTATTTACAGGTAAGCTGCTACTTCTCCCCTGTAGTGTTTTTAAGCACATGATACTTAAGCACCTGTATTTTTGGTAGCTAAACCAAAATTGAGTCCAAATGCAAATTAAATTAGGTTAACACAAATTGTAATGCTGCACAGGTTTTTGCATTAGCAAATAGAGCTGTTGGTTATGAAATAACTGAGCTTATCTGTCATTTTATCAACAGCAAGAAACACTGAGTTTGCAGACTTTTGCCACAAGTGAAGTGTTTCACAGTAAGTAATCAGTTTTTGAAAAAGGAAAACTATAAAGTACAAAAGTGAAACCTCTCTTTCCGTGTATGGACTTCACTGAATTACTTTCACCAACAAAAGCAGCAGAATGAATGGGAGATAACCTTGGGAAAGGGCTTGACTGACAGACACCTGATACTGATTCTGAAGTTCCTGCAAATCCATTCCTGCTCCAGACTACCTCTAACAGGGTCTGTCCCTCCAACACCTTGCAGTCAGCACAGTCTTTCGCAGCAGTACAGAATGATGCCATACTGTTTTGAAGCCAAAATATATCCTTGTTCCAGAAGGCTGAGTAATTTTAAAAGATGTAGGGCATTAATTAATCCCAGCATGTGTATTTGAGAAAGTCACTAATATCTCTTACTGTATCCTCTTCTTTGCAACTCACAAATTATTCAAAGGACTAACAATCTGAAGCTGTCACACACCACAAGTCCCTGTCAAGTTGTCTCCCAGCCTGATTTGGTTTGCTCTGTTTGGTTACTAACCAAATGCAAAAGGGGAATGTAGCTCCTGAACAAATGCACAGCAGAGCAGACATTCCTAGGTTATTTTAGAGAATTATTCTTGAAGCTGATTCTAATTTTGTACAGAATCTATGAACGGGAGGACAGAGGCTTAACTTTTTTCACCAGCTATCAGTTGTCAGCATCTCTTCCTCATACAGCCCAGCTGAGCTTATTCCTGGGTCTAGACACACAGTCTGAACCTTCAGCTGGATCCCACCGTAAAAAAAAAAGAAATAAAAAATACCAGCTACTGTGAAGAGCATTGAGAAGCAACAGCTAGTTTATATTCTGTCTACAGTTTAGCATATGACCACAAAGCATGTCATTCCAGGGGGCTCAAGTCAAAGCAAAATGTTTAAGCTTCTTCACTGCAGAACTTCATGCACGGCCAGGGAAAACAGAGAACAACAACTTTCCACAGTGTTTAGCTGCTTTGCTTGTGCTTCTATGATACAGAGGCCAAATGTACAGTAATTTTAACTGAATCAAATCCAAGACTTGTCTAAGTGTATCCACTGAAAATGAAACCCACCTTGGGGAGAAAGAAGAAATGGCAGGGTAGTGAAAACATCTTATGCCTTAAGGAAAAGCATAGCGAAGTAGTAGCAACTCATGCTTGCTTTCAAAATAATAACGAGGGCTATTATTTACCAGACAGAAGAGACCTTTCTCCTTTCACTGTAACTCTGGTGCCAGCAGACAGGGTAAGTATTCTGAGGGAAAAACAGGAGAGAGTATTCAAGAGGATGCTGGTAGGACAGGAAGCAAGAGTGAGAGATTCTCTTTCTCCTCCTGGAATGGAAAGGATGATTTATCATAGGCAACTAAAGGAGAAAAACAGTGTATGCCAGCAAAGAGCAAACTGCAGAACTTCTGGCAATAGAAGGAATATTTAATCCATAATACTAATGGCTTTATTTTAGCTTCTAAACTTACCCTTGTTGTTCTACAAATTTATATAAAAATCATATAAATGATATTATGGATCTGTGGTCAAAATTCCCCTTGAGCCTACTTGTCCATTCCCAAACTTAAAAAAAATAGCTATGAAGCAACATGTAAAGCACACTTATTTTCCAACATTTGTCTAATGAGTGGACAGAGTATATTACTCCCTCAAAGCATCACCTCCCATGAGTTATGTCTTCTTCCATTTAACTTTTTTTTCTTTTTTATTTTTAGTGAGGAAGGTTTAAAGGTGACAGACATGTTCTTCTTTACCTCTCCTTTGCCAAACCCTCTTGCTCTTTGCCACCTTCTCTTGCAGGAGACTCACATTGTTTTCAGTTCATCTCTTCTGTCCCCTCCAGGGAGGGGAAAGGTGGAAGGGGGAGAAAAAGCTTCCTTTATTACCTCTTTTCCTAGATCAGTTGGCTTGGCTGATAATGGCATAGAAGCATATGCCATGAATCACTGCAGCGTTCACACATTCCAATGCCTGTAAGGATGGAAGTGTCCAGTTCCACCACTGTGCACAGTGGTAGAGCTCAGTTGTTGATAAAGGCTCTGATCTGAATTCTGAATACCTGAACAAATGCAAACAAATTTGCACAGGTTCTGCTTTAGTGATAGTGTTAAGTTTTCCCTATGCATTTTCCCCTAATTATATTATTCTAAAAAACACCAAATAGTAAGTCTACATGACATTCTTACCCCCCTTACATGGCATTTCTAATGAAACGTTATTTAAACACTTACCACGTAGTCTTCAGTCCTACAATTTTCAATGTGTTCCGGCTATATTAAACAAACATTGAAGAAAAAGTTGGGCTATGTGCGGGTTTTTTTCCATTTTTAAGTGTTTAATTTGTAATAAACATGTAGTATGCTGCAAATATGTTCAATATATATATATATGGCCCTTTATGTGTTAAGTGTTAAGAATATATTTTTGCATTGCCATAGTTGAGTTTGTCACATTTTCCATTACCAACTTAATTTCAGGGTTTATAACTTCTCCATAAAATGTGCCCTTCAGGAGGAAACTTGACATTTAATTCCCCAGCTGAAGAGGTGGGTTTTTTTTTCCTTTTAAAAATCAGATTAACAAAATAATTGTTTAGCAAACATTTCTTACATCCAGAAATGAAGTGACAAAAAAGCCTTTGAAGCCTGGATTCCCCCTCATAGACTGCATTTAACTGAGCATTTTAATTCTAAACAGAAATAAACACTTTCAGATACCGGCTACTACTGATTAGAGTTTAAAGCCATTTTTTACTCCACCACAAAGCAAGTGAAATAATTCCTGATCCAGATCTTAATCTGTTATAGTACAGTATATGTTCATTGTCTGTCTAGATCAGTACTAATTTAAGCAGTCAAACCTCCTAGCCCAGAACAATAAAAGCTCTTTAATCTTACTAAATTAGAGCTAACAGAATGATGGCAGTTCATCACTGACTGTATGATTGAAATTCTGCTTCATATACCTGTTAGATACTCTGCATCTCATGACAAAAATGTATTCACCACTTTTTCCTCACCTCTAGAAATGTTATAGCAAAAGCATACCACTTACATCTATTTCTGTTCCTAAACAGGATGGAAAATATAGCATGAGACAAACCATACAGAACAAAAGAATAGATGAAATGAAATTAAAAGCTCATTTGGTTTCTTGAGAATATATAAGTAAATAAAAAATATTTATGAATAAAAATATGCTTTCTATAAAACAGGAATAATTTGTGAATGAGTCAAATATCAGAAGTCTAAGCTTATTGCAGCTTTTAGTTTCAGCCAGCGCATGATTACTGCTATTTTTATTAAAATTAAATGGCTTTATTTTCAAATTCTCACACACTGACTGCCAGCAGTTTTCCTCAGTTACAGTTCTTTCCAGATTAATCCATCTCTATATTGCCAAATTTTATGACCTTTATTGCAAGTCACCCAACAAGTGTTTTCTCAAAGTTCATTTTTTCCTGAGCAAAGTAAGACTCTCAGCTTTCATTCTTTCCAAACATAATATTATGGCTCACAACTTGGTTTAAAAAAAAAAAAAGTGATTCAAAAATGCGCTGTCTTTTGAAAGACAAAACAAGTCCTATATTTATTATATCAAAAAATTCCCCAAACTCATGACTTTCCAGACTTGACTAATGATTTGTGAATGCTTTCAGGTTAGCAATACTGCATTATGTGTTCCTTGGATTCCGGTCTGACCACTACACCCAGTAGCTACTTGGTCTTTGATGTTCTTTCCACAAATTTCACCTAAGATTTTCAGGTTTATAACTCAAATTAAATAGCTTTAATTTGACTTGTGTCTTTGTTGTACCTATTTTCTAACTAAACTTTAAAATGGCTTCCAAGCTGTATGGTTGTTCACATGGATTAGTAGGCAGGAACTGTGGATTTTGTCTGTGTTGTGCTTTATCCTATGGCACTAGGTACTGTTTTAAATAGAAAGAAACCATGTTCTCATAGCAGACATGCTAATTACTTTGTGTCATTCTTTCTGTCTCTGGTAGGCTGTTAACAAGTTGCAGATAGTTTTAAAAATATCCATTCTCTATCTTTCTTCCATACCCCATAGCTTTTACATCCTAGCAGAACTGTGATATTCCATTGATCCTGTTTTCATTTTCACATTACAAAGAAATGTTACATATGCGAGCAGAGCTAGGTCTGTGTTTTGCTCATGTGGATAAGTCCATTTTTTCTGGTTTGTCTGGATCACCTTTTAGAATCATAGTATCATAGAATCATAGAATGGTTAGGGTTGGAAAGGACCTTAAGATCATCTAGTTCCAACCCCCCTGCCACGGGCAGGGACACTTCACGCTACATCATATCACCCAAGGCCTCGTCCAACCTGGTCTTGAACACTGCCAGGGATGGAGCATTCACAACCTCCCTGGGCAACCCATTCCAGTGCCTCACCACCCTAACAGGAAAGAATTTCCTTCTTATATCCAATCTAAACTTCCCCTGTTTAAGTTTTAACCCATTAAAGAGTTTTAACCCTTGTCCTTTCACTACAGTCTCTAATGAAGAGTCCCTCCCCATCATCCCTATAGGCCACCTTCAGATACTAGAAGGCTGCTATGAGGTCTCCACGCAGCCTTCTCTTCTCCAGGCTGGACAGCCCCAACTTCCTCAGCCTGTCTTCATACGGGAGGTGCTCCAGTCCCCTGATCATCCTCGTGTCCTCCTCTGGACTTATTCCAACAGTTCCATGTCCTTTTTATGTTGAGGACACCAGAACTGCACACAATACTCCAAGTGAGGTCTCACAAGAGCAGAGTAGAGGGGCAGGATCACCTCCTTCGACCTGCTGGTCATGCTGCTTTTGATGCAACTTCATTCCCCAGCTCCTTCAGGACCCGCGGATGGATTTCATCAGTTCCCATGGACTTGTGCACGTTCAGATTTTTAAGATGGTCTCGAACCAGATCCTCTCCTACAGTGGGCGCAAGGTCTTCATTCCCACAGTCCCTGTGTCTGCCTTCCAAGACTTGGGTGGTGTGGTCAGAGCCTTTGCCAGTGAAGACTGAGGCAAAGAAGTCATTCAGAACCTCAGCCTTCTCCAAGTCCCGTGTAGCCAGTTCTCCTGAGAGCTTCCTGAGGGGGCCTACATTCTCCCTAGTCTGTTTCTTATTTGCTATGTACTTGTAGAATCCCTTCCTGTTATCTTAACATCCCTAGCCAAGTTTAATTCTAACTGGGCCTTAGCTTGCCTAACCTGGTCCCTAGCTTCCCTGACAACATCCCCGTACTCTTCCCAGGCCGCCTGTCGCTGCTTCCACCTTTTATAAGCCTCTTTTGTCATTTGAATTTTCCTCAGGAGCTCCTTATCCATCCAAGGAGGTCTCCTGGCCCTCCTGCTGCACTTCCTTCTAGTTGGGATGCAACACTCCTGAGCTTGCAGCAGGTGATCCTTGAATATCGACCAACAGTCTTGGGCCCCCCTGCCCTCTAGGTCTGTATCCCATGGAACCTTCCTAAGCAGGTTCCTGAAGAGGCCAAAGTCTGCTCTTTTGCAGTCCAGGGCAGTGAGCTTGCTGCACGCTCTTCTCACTGTCCTGAGGATCTCAAATTTGACCATCTCATGATCGCTGCATCCAAGGCTGCCCTGGAGCATCACATTTCCAACGAGCCCTTCCCTGTTGGTGAGCACGAGGTCAAGCATGACACCTCTCCTTGTCAGCTCCTCTGTTACTTGCAGAACTTCCTTTAGTTTCTTCCTGTGTGATGTAGCTCCAAACTCATACATTTTGTTTTCATTTGTTTTTGCTTTCTTCTGAATGTCCTTTTAGCCTCTAATGTCAGGCAATTATTTACCAATTTATCAACAAAAGTACAGGTTTTAAGATTTGTCTGTAACTTAATTTCACGCTGTTGCAGATAATCCTCATATGGGATATTGAATTCATAACAAGACCTGACAGACATGAAAGGCAACATCGGAATAGCTCCAGCCTACCGATTACAGATCAGACCACCTTAATTTCCAGATTTTCTATTATATACTTTATGATAGGACATGCTTTCATATTTAACCAACCATAGCAAGTGCATATCACTCTCTATTTAAAGCATAATTTCTGAGAGCTGTCAAAGTCACAGTTCAAACTAGCTGTGTGGTCAATAAACAGTGCCTTATTTTAGTATTCTGAAAATTATCGAAATAATTGTGTGGACATAAAAGCAACAGCATATACTGGAAAAGCCTGAAGGAATGTTTCTGAACCGTGATCACAGGCACCAAAACAAAATTCACACTACTAGGTTTAGACAATCTCTGTCTTTAACAAATTCGGACCAATATCAGAATTAATGCTTCTTACATTGGACACCAAATTTAGACACGCAAGCAGCTGTATATTAGGCTTTCTTTCATGGGGGAATAATTCAGACTACTTCAAGTTACATGACCAAGTTCCCTCTGTTGTGAATGATAGATATTTCTAGGAAGTGGGCTCAAGTCACCACCCAGCTCACACTTCTTGGTCTATACCTTAAATATACTCTCATTTAAAAAGTGATAGAATCATAGAATAATTTGGGTTGGAAGGGACCTTCAAAGGTCATCTAGTCCAAACCCCCTGCAATGAGCAGGAGCATCCTGGAACTAGACAGATTGTAGAGAACCACATCCAGCCTGACCTTGAATGTCTCCAGGTATGGCGCATCTACAACCTTTCTGGGCAACCTGTTCCAGTAGTTTACCACCCTCATTGTAAAGATTGTTTTACTCACATCCAGCCTGAATCTCCCCTCTTAGTTTAAAACCATTACCCCTTGTCCTATATAGCAATATAGGAAAACATTTGAAATGGCAGCAACATTTTTTTCCAGACACCCTAAACACTTGAAAGACATACTTATGTCTAAACAGCATTAGAGATCTACCCCTTAAATCTACCCATCTAAGCCATAACAGTCCTGATCACGTGTGTCAGTCTCTGCAGAGGCTACTTTTAGGTGGTTTTGAGAGTAACAGGTCCACTCTGCTTTCTTTGGTTACATCTCTGCTGATTAAAACATTGACGGCAGAGCACAGGCTCAGTCCTAGCAT